GGAGAGGAGTGGAGGAGACGAGAAGCAGACGAGGTAAAAAAAAAACAAAAACAAAACAGCTCAACGGAGGAGGAGAAAACAAGACGAGATGATGGAGAGAAAAGGAGAGAGGAGATGAGAGGAGCGAGGGAGACGAGCGCCGGAGCAGACGGAGGTAAAAATAGCTGAACAGAAATGAGGCGGGCTCCTTTGGCCCCGAGCGAAACATGAGTCAAAGCGTTGCATCTACCGCAGCTTCTCCCACGGACTTCAAAAAAACCCCACCTCCACACGAAAGCGCCCACACCTTCTGAGGACCATCGCAACATCTCGTCTTCTGCTGCAGATTCTCCCACGGACTTCAAACCGCCACCTCCCCGGCAATCCGGTATCTCATCTTCTTCCGCGGCAGCTTTTCGTAGACACCTCCGAAAGTAGCTCCTTCTGCATCTACCGCATCATCTCACGTCCATCATCTCGTCTTCTGCTGCTCCACCAACAACTAGAACCAGAAGAACCACCTCCCAAACTCATAACTTTAAGTGCATATGTTCTCCACCTTCCTTCTTCTGCAGCTCCGCCCCGTAGGCTTCAAAATCACCTCCACAGCACCACCATCGCGAGCCAGAAGATCCACGATTGCGACCATTACAACATCTCACCGCCATCTCGTCTTCTACAGCTTCTCCCACAGACTTTAAACTACCTCCAGAAGAAGCTCCTCTCCACCTCGTCTCACCATCCCGTTGCGTCTCATCACAACATCTCATCTTCTGCTGTAGCTTCTCCCACAGACTTCAAACCACCATCTCCTCAGCACCATCTCTGCAACGGCAATCCATCAAAGTGTCTCATCTTCTTCTACAACTGCTTTCCATGGGCTTTCAAAGCACCTTCTAAACACCAACACCTCCAAAAGTAGCACCTTCTTCATCTACCACATCATCTCACGTCCATCATCTCATCTTCTGCTGCTCCACCACCAACTAAAACCTCATAAAAGCTCATTGCATTAAGCGTATATGTCCTCCTTCAATCTCATCTTCATATCTCCACCTTCCTTCTTCTGCAGCTCCACCAACATGAGCCAGAAGAACCACGGTTGCAACCATCTGCAACAACATCTCATCGCCATCTCGTCTTCTGCAGCTTCTTCCACAGACTTTAAACTACCTCCAGAAGAAGCTCCTCTCCAGCTCATCTCACCATCTCATTGTGTCTCATCACAACATCTCATCTTCTGCTGCACCACCACCAACTACACCCAGAAGAACCACCTCCCAAGCTCATAACTTTATGCATGTATGTCCTCCTGTCTTCTGCTGCTTCTTTATTTCCACAGGCTTCAGTCTCACCTCCACATCTCCACCTTCCTTCTTCTGCAGCTCCATGGAGCAAGTAAATGCAGTGTCCCCGTTACTGCAACGTAAACTTGAGTGGACATGTGTCCAAAAGACAAACCCTTTTCGGTCTTTTCATCACAACAGAATTCTCCAGCTGATCGATTAAGAAAACAGAACAGATGCTTGAGCCACCTCAGTTGGCTCCTCTCGACGTGGAGGAGCAGCAGCTCTACTCCGAGCTCCTCCCGTGTGACTGAACTCCTCACTCTATCTCTAAGGGAGCGCCCAGACACCCTGCGGAAGAAACTCATTTCAGTCATTACCCAGAGCTCATGACCATCGGTGAGAGGAGGAACGTAGATTGATCCATAAATCAAGAGCAGTAACATTATACAGACAACAAGGACTTGCCAGGAGAAAAGTTACATAATGCACCTTTAAAACAATAAGTAAAAAGATTTTGACATCTTTGGTCTTATTATTATGTAATAATAATGATGATAATTTTAATATAAAAACGTTAATGAAAATTGATCGTTAATTCTCCCGACGATCGATTAAGAAAATGTTATCGAGTGTCTATCCTTAATTATAAATACTTTTTACTTCAGCCTAAACCATTTCAGTCATGATCCATGGGATTGTAGTCGATGTTTTGTTTTGTTTTGTAGTGCTGCAAACTGACTGAATACACTACTACTACTACTACTACTACTACTACTACTACTACTACTACTACTACTGCTACTACTAAAACTACTACTGTGGCCACACCGGCTTGTTAAAGTCTGATCCCGTCAGATCTCAGAAGCTCAGCAGGTCTGGGTCTGGTCAGGACTTGGATGGAGACACTGGGAATTCCAGGAGCCACAGGGGGGCGCCAGTGGCAAAAACTGTTGTTGTGTCCTTAGGCAAGACACTTCACCCACATCGCCTAATATGAAAGTGGTGTGTGACAGGGGTTGAAGGGGCCGATGGTACAGATTGGCAGCCTCTCTTCTGTCAGTCTGCCCCAGGGCAGCCGTGGCTACAGTAGTAGTTTACCACCATTGAGTGACTGAATAATGAAGTGTAAAGCACTTTGGGCATCTTGAAAGGTGCTGTATAAATGCAATGATTCATTCATTCATTACTACTAATATACATAGAGCAGATCTGACCTGTAATGTGACCATGTGTCAGCACCTGCTCGGCTCCACGGAGTCGACTCCATGTTTAATGCCATAGTGTGGAACATTTCAGACAAAGCATTAACATTCATTTCATTTAGAAAGCAGGTGGCAGTTCCCCAACATAAAAGTGACACAGTGCAGCTTTAATTAATCTTATCTCATTCTTAAGTTTCCATTTTCGCTTTGTTTTCGCTTTGACTTTGGCTCAAGGTTAAGTCCGGATGCAGCTCTGGTTCAGTTCCGGCTAAAGTTTAGTCTTTAGTCTGGGATTCGGTCTTACTTGGACTGGACTTGGACTTAGACCGAGCCTGGGTCCACGCGCACGGACTCGGCGCGCACGGACTCGGTCTTTTCCCTCAGTCCCGCTTAATGGCGCTACTCCCACGTCCCCCTCCTGTAAATTCCATCAGTGCAGCGCAGACAGTGCCCTATAACAAGACGCCGCATAAGAAACGCGTGGGCCGAGACACACACACACACACGCGCGCGCGCACACACACCGCTGCCAGACGCACACACCGAGACGTACACGCGCGCGCGGGGGGGAGTGACGTCAGGGCGCCGGCAGCTGACTCGCGCCTCTCAGAAGCTCATCACTCTCCTCCTTCCACGCGTCGAGGACGGAGCGGAATACAAAGGACACCACCGAGGCGCGGGAGACAGACGCGGGGAGATACTTCGGGCGCAACGGTGTGTGTGTTTTTGTTTTTTATTTTTATTTTTCCTACCCGGGCGCGTTTCTGCCGCATGCGGAGGAAAACGTCGGGGGCACACGCGCGCTGGCTTTTGGCGCGGCGGTCGCACGTTTGCCGCCTGTGACGCGCGTGTTTTTGCCGCGTTGGACGGGGCTCTAAACCCGCACCGCAGCGTGGAGGAGCGGAGAGGAGCGGAGGTCTGAGGAGACACGGGGAGGGACGCTTTCGGTGTTGGTTTTTGCTCCTCGTGGCTGCTTGTGGACGCGTTAAAGGTGGAATAGACTAAAAAAAAACTAAACGAAAAAAACAATTTGACTCGAGGATCGCTGTGGAGCTCTGCGGAAGACGCTGGTTAAACAACTGGACAGGTTGCCTCCTCCTGCCTGTCATGCATCTAGTATTGGTTTAGGACTCAAGACGGGCTTGCATAGTCCTCACCTTACCCGTGTCACCATCAAGTATTTCATTTTTACGCAATCGGGTGTAGTATCTGAACTGCTTTCATTTCCTAAAAAAAAAAAACAAAAAACACACGCGTACATCACCTCACCTGTTTACGCGCCGCTCATCACCCAAGAATAGCCATGGTTCAAGTTCACCCCGCGCTATCTTCTACCCCAATTTGACAAATGCACGCGCGTCTTGTGTTCAGTCTTAGCGCGCGTAAGAGGAGGTGCCCTGCCCTATAGCCCGCGCGGCGCAGAGGACATGCGGCTAACGCTGATGACATTGGCGGGGACATAAGCGTTTCTCCGGCGCGCCCGCTCCGTCTCCACCGGCCGCGCACACTGCAGTGATCCTGTTGATAGCGGTTTGGCTCGTAGCGCTGTTGCTTTGATTCGTAAACGAGGCCCCGCGGGGAGGGGGGGGGAAAGCTCTATGCTCGTTTCGTATGCAAATATCAGAGAATGTGATCTGAACGCAGCCTATGGATAGTGCAACATTTCGAAATTGCCACGGTTTGACATTGAGTTGCAGGAATCGGGAATTGTAAGTAGAAGTAACTTAATTGTGTTCAAATCGTAACCAAAAAACGACTTGTTTTGACAGACTTTGGGTGAGGGTGGTGGTTTGTGTGCAGCCTTGACATTGAGTAGCAGGAATCCGTGGACGTTTTGAGCGGAAGTAACTTAATTTTGCACAAATTGCGAAGCAGAAAGAGCATTTCCGGGAAGGCGTTTTTTTTTTTTTAAGCCAAGGGCCGTTTTTTTTGGACGTTGCACGCGCGAAACAGTTGGTCGCGGATGTTTCAGACATGCAGGAAAGATCTAAACACGCAGATATAGGTTCAGATATATCATGCTGGAGCTCCAACGCGGAGGAGAAGACGGCGTTGCGATGTAAAAAACCGCAGAACCAGAGCGTCGGTGGCTAAATATAGTCTGGCAGTCGCTCCTTTGGGTTCTTGTCGGTTTAGGTAGAAAGTGAATCGCGAGTGACTGCAGCATTTGGAGAGCGTTAATGACTGTAAAGTTTTACTCGGAGAACCATGAATACCTTGGGGCTACTTTTAAGTCTCCAAGCACAAAAAAGTGAACATTCTAACCATATTTAACCACATATGTAAGTTTTCTTCGCAGAAATTAGGAACTGTAATCTCGTAGTTGTTTGTTATTGTACGTTTGACATATTTAAGAGTAAAAACTAAACGATTTCTGGCCCAACTGTGGACATAAGTAGTAGTAGTAGTCGTAGTTTAGTCGTTTCAGCCTTAAGGAGGAGTAGCTCGCCGTCCGCTGTCGACTCTCCCTCATGTAAACGCCGAAGGATGAAGCCTCTTTAGCTGGGGGGGGGGACACCGAGACGAGGCCATGGAGCTGTCGGAGGTGCGTTGCTCCGGGGCCAGCGAGGAGCTCTACACCATCAACAAGACCCCCAGCTCCGGACGGGCCAAGCGCCTCCTGTGGCAGAACGCGGTGCGGCACATCACCGAGCAGCGCTTCATCCACGAGCACAGCAGCCGCGACGAGGAGGAGTACGGGCCGGAGCAGGGCCAGAGGAAGGGCTCCGGGGGCCGCGCTTCGCTCAGCCATAACAACGGAGGGACCAAGGTGAGGGGAGGAGGTGGGGGCAACGACGGAGGGACCAGGGTGGTGGGAGGAGGGGGCACAGGTTCGTGAAAAAACTGTGATTGATTGCTTTAGACTTGGGGTTTATGTTTAAAGAGTCGCACCGTGTTCCAAGTGCTTTTTTTTTTGCATATATATTTATTGATTTTAAGCATTTTCAAACAAAATAATCAACAAAATAATAACACTGGCCCATTCATATATTAGACACAGATAAACCCATTTCAAAATGTAAATATCCTACTCATAATAGCTGAAATCTCAAGTCCAGTAACCAATCAAAAAAAGGTTCCCAAGTCTTCTTAAAAATATTATCCTCACGGTGAAGCTGACACGTCAGGTAATCGAGAGAAACGAAACCAAAAACCATCTTCTGCCGCTGAGTTTTATAAAGGGGTCTGGTCAGATACCTCCAACTGCGTTTTGTAAACAACATCAGGAGCGTGGACGTTTGAGAGAAAGCGTTGTGTCCAGGGCGGGGCAGTCCGGTCAGACTAAGTAAGAGGTGCTACTCACTCAGGGGAGAGTGCAGAGCGACAAGTCTGTAGTGGTTTCATTGTTGACAAAAGCGCGCGTTGCATGCTGGGAATTATTTTGGTCGGCGGCAAGAAACACTAATTCAACATGACGGACAGAGCGAGAAAGCACGTAAAGGGTATTGATCCCGGTTATTTATCCACTCTAACGGCAGAGGACCCAAGACCATTTGACCAGAAATTGGTCATAAACATCGATGGAGCCAAATCACCCTTTTCAACCCCGACAAAAGGTGGACCAAACCAAATTTCTGGTCAGAATCACCAACTACCTGGACAAATATTCACTTGGGCGATATCCACAATGACTTGGTGGAAACTCCTGGGCCATTCACAGCAGAAAAGATGAAAACCTCCAAGAGTCTCGATGTGTTGTTGAACTTGTTGGAGTCCACGGTTTGTTAGGATCTTCTACGTTTGCTCTGTGGATGTTTGAAAGCCGTTTAATTCACCGTTAGCGGTTCTTTTCACTCAGAATACGAAAAAGACATTTTCCTTCTTCCGTGCTTCTGTTTGTGCATCCGATAATGCAGCAGGAATTTACCATTATCGGGGATAAATACGCACTGTGTTTGACGCTATCGTGTTTCTTGCCTCCGACCAAATTATTTCCCAGCAGCAACGCGGGCTTTTAATAACAATGACGTCAGCTGAAAGTCGCCTATATGTAGAGACAACAACATGAAGTGTGGGTCCATCCAAGTGATTTGTACCCAGAGCCTAGAATATGGTACCACCTAGTGCCTCCGCTCAATTTCATTTCTCTTCAGGGACTAGGCCAGGAATCAAAATACACTAGACGGTTCGCAAAAATCCCGGAAGTGTGAGTTCGGGCTCCAGCCAATCAGCGAAGAGCCATATATTCTGTGTTGTCAACGATTCCCAAGATCGAGGATTTAAAGCCGGAACAAAGAGAATGTTTGGTGAATTTCATCAAGGGGAAAGACGTTATTGTCCTTCTTCCTACGGGATTTGGGAAAAGCTTAATATACCAGTTATTTACACATTACATACGTTACAACCAAATAGCAGCGATTGGTTAAAAAAAAAAAGTACCCGCCTACAGTCGAGCGAACGAAGCCTAATGCTGCGAGGTCAGACAGTTTCTACGAAGTGAAACCGGCTGATGAATCAGGCTAAGAATATGATGGTTTCAAATTTACTGTCAAAATTAGATTTAAATTAACAGGACAAAATATGAAACCAAAACAAAGGTTCTACAATGTTTATCTGTATTAGAACTATAATGTTATTATTAGTATTATTATTAATTAGGGATTTCTTGGACAATTAATTTGTTGTTTGTTTCTTAAGTTACCACATCATCATCATCATCATCATCATCTTTATTCTGGACTCTTGGTCCATTTAAAAAACAGACAAGGACAGTGACAATACAAAACAATAAACATTCATGTTTTTAAAAGACAGCCACACCAGTGTCTCCACATGTTGGACTGATCTTATTGCACTGAATCTCAAATTTGTGAGTGACATTATTATTTCATTGTCTGATTTGTTCAGGCTGCAGATAAAACTGTACATTAAAATTCTTAGCGCAGCTTGCAAAGTGTTCAGTCGAGCAGTAACAAACATTTCAGTCGCACTCGTCCATCGTGGTCTCCTCAATAGACACATGTCAAGGTAATTTTTAATTCTCTATTCTCTATCCACATTAGTTATTACCACATTAATACCTGTTCATTCTGAGGTCAAAATGGTTTATAGAACAGAACAAACTGACAGAAGTGAGGCTCAATCTGCACCATCGGCCCCTCCGACCACCACCTGTACTCACACACACCACATTCATACTGGGCAATATGGGTGAAGTGTCTTGCCTAAGGACACAACAACAGTTTGTTTCCACTTTGGGACCTGGCATTCCCAGTGTTCTCCATCCACGTACTACTCAGCCTGATTCATCAGCTGGTTTCACTACGTTTCTCTTCGTAGAAACTGTCTGACCTTGCAGTGTTAGAATGAAAGAGTTTATTTTTGTTTTAAAGGTGCATTGGCAAAGGAGAAATTCAGTTTGTCGAGTGGACAAAAGTTTATTTGGTCTGGTTTATTTGCTTTGCCTGAAATGTTCTGGCCTGCTTCATTAGCCAGTTTCACTTTGTAGAAACCGTCTGACCTCACAGCATTAGAATTTGTTTGCTTGACATTAGGCAGGTACTTTTTTTTTATTTAACCAATCGCTGTTATTTGGTCGTGACGTATGTAATGCGCCGCCAACGCGGTTAACTGGCATATTAAGCTTTTCCCAAATCCTGTAGGAAGAAGGACAATAACGTCTTTCCCCTTGATAAAATTCACCAAACATTCTCTTTGTTCCGGCTTTAAATCCTCGATCTCGGGAATCGTTGCCAACACAGAATGTATGGCACTTATGGGGTTCTTGTAAACCATCTAGAGTATTTTGATTCCTGACCTAGTCGCTGGAAAGAAATGAAATTGGGCGAAGGCACTAGGTGGCACCGGCCTGGCTAATAAAACATACAGTCTCTATGGAGAATGTCCTCAAGTGTGGTTTTAACTTTTTTTTTTTTTTTTTATTCAGACAACAGAATATAACACTTAAAAAACAAAACACAAAAACACAGAGCAACACCCACAACAAATACAAAACAACAAAAACTGCCCACCCTCAACTAGAGGTGTGCAAAACTATCAAAATGTCGGAATATGTCGTATCGTTTAATGTGATGAGACAGTATCAATATCAGGGGCTTTGAAATTGTCAGTCGTCGAATAGTCAATCTGCACCACAAGCACTCGCACACACCGCATTCAGACTAGGCAATGTGGGTGAAGCGTCTTGCCTAAGGACACAGCAACAGTTTTTGTCACTTGCTCCACTTTCGGACTTCTCATTCCCTGTGGTCTCCATCCACGTACTACCCAGGTCCAGCCCTAACAAACCTGTATTTGCTCTTGTGTTGATGTCGGTGTGGAGCGTTTTGCTTTTGCTCTGCATGGGGGAGAATCATGCTGCGGTTCGTATCTGTCTCATGGATAAAGCTAAAGACGATGCATGTCTGAATACACCTGTCAGTGTGTATATCTGAGCGCACCTGTCAGTGTGTATATCTGTGTGCACCTGTCAGTCCGATGGCGTCTTGTACCCAGCGGAGCGCGGAGGACGACCAGTGAGCCGCCTCCGCCACAGAGCAGAGAGACCAGTCCCCTTTACAATCTGTTACAGTCCAAACGTGTCTGGAATGTACGGAAGCCGAGAGGGGTCGCAGCAAACGCAAACGCCGCAACAACTACAAATGCGACAACACAACAAAAAGTCACAACACACCAAAAAAAAGCCACAACACACCAAAAGAAAAGTCTCAACACACCAAAACAAGTCACCACAGAAATAACCGCGGGACTCTATTTTAATGCAAACGCCACAAAAAATACAAACGCCACAACACAAACGCAAAAGCCACAACACATCAAAAAGCCACAACACATCAAAAAGCCACAACACATCAAAAAGCAACAACACATTAAAAAACCACAACACATAGAGTCCCGCGGTCACTTCCGTTGTGGCTTTGTAATGTGTTGCGGCATTTGGATTTGTGTTGTTTCTTTCGGCGTTTGTATTAAAATAGAGTCCTGCAGTCATTTCCGTTGTGGCTTTTTTTTTGGTGTGTTGTGGTTTTTGTTGTGTTGTGTTTTTTTTGTTTTTTTTTTTTGGTATGTTGTCACATTTTTTTTTTTTTGGTGTGTTGTGGCTTTTTTGGTGTTTTGTGGCTTTTTTTTGGTGTGTTGTGACTTTTTTGTGTGTTGTGGCTTTTTTAGTGTGTTGTGGCTTTTTTTTTGGTGTGTTGTGGCTTTTTTGGTTTGTTGTGGCTTTTTTAGTGTGTTGTGACTTTTTTAGTGTGTTGTGGCTTTTTCTTTCGGTGTGTTGTGGCTTTTTTGGTGTTTTTGTGGCTTTTTTTTTTTTTTTGTGTGTTGTGTGTGTGTTTTTGTGTGTTGTGGCTTTTTTAGTGTTTGTTGTGGCTTTTTTAGTGTGTTGTGACTTTTTTAGTGTGTTGTGACTTTTTTAGTGTGTTGTGGCTTTTTCTTTTGGTGTGTTGTGACTTTTTTGTTGTGCTGTGACTTTTTTTGGTGTGTTGTGGCTTTTTTTTGTTGTGCTGTGACTTTTTTTGGTTTGCTGTGACTTTTTTTGGTGTATTGTGACTTTTTTTTGTTGTGTTTTGACTTTTTTGTTGTGCTGTGACTTTTTTTTGGTTTGTTGTGGCTTTTTTTTTTTTGGTGTGTTGTGGCTTTTTGTTGCGTTGTCTTATTTGTATTTGTTGCGGCGTTTGCGTTTGTTGTGACCCCTCTCAGCTTCCGTAGGAGTGGGACCATAGAACAAACTTGAAACGGTCCATTTGTATCACGTGTCTCTCAAACGCAGAAGACGTCTCCTCCCCAAAACTCCATCACTTCTTTTCCCTTCGATAAATAAATAAGAGTTTGGTGTTTAGATTGTTGATTCTTCTCACTCTTCTTTGCTCTAATTGCCCCTAATTGAAGTGTGCGCCGCTTGTATGTTTTGACACAAACAGAGCTCAGTGTGATCGGTCTAAGAGGTATTCAACCTGACTGTAATCAAGGCAGTCTTCAGTGATGTGACATAGTACTTGAAATCACCAGTGTTGGGGAGGTGACTTTTAAAATGTATTCCCCTACAGATTACAGATTACATACCCCAAAATGTAGTTAGTCCAGCATGATTTAGACCTGTTAAATCCTGTTTTAGACCTGGTTTAGTCTTGGTTTAGTCCCGGTTTAGACCTGGTTTAGTCCTGGTTTAGACCTGGTTTAGACCTGGTTTTAGAGGTCCTGGTTTAGATCTGGTTCAGACCTGGTTTAGACCTGGTTCAGACCTGGTTTAGTGGTTTAGGTTCATGGTTTAGACCTGGTTTAGTCCTGGTTTAGACCTGGTTTAGTCCTGGTGGTTTAGTCCTGGTTTAGTGGTTCCTGGTTTAGTTTAGTCCTGGTTTAGACCTGGTTTAGACCTGGTTCAGTCCTGGTTTAGACCTGGTTTTGTCCTGGTTTAGATCTGGTTTAGTCTTGGTTCAGTCCTGGTTCAGTCCTGGTTTAGATCTGGTTTAGTCTTGGTTCAGTCCTGGTTTAGTCCTGGTTCAGTCCTGGTTTAGACCTGGTTCAGTCCTGGTTTAGATCTGGTTTAGACCTGGTTTAGACCTGGTTCAGTCCTGGTTTAGACACTGGAAATCACAGAGCCTATACTTGCACTCTGATGATTCATTGAAAAAAAAAAAAAAAAAAAATGCAGATTTATTAGTTGCAGCCTTAAATACAACCACACTGAGCCCAGGCAGAGGTTGTCACTTGACTGTTTGAACCCGAGGGACAGATGAGTGAGAACAGTGAGGAGTTTATTAAAGGGACAAACTTGGAGCCAGGAGCTAAAGACTGCGGTGATGAGAGGAAGACGGAGAGATCGTCCCGGAGTCGTTCTGGAGAGCGGACATTTATGACTCAGCTTCTCAAACGGACGGCTGATTTCATTTCGTGTAATTGCATAAAAGGATGATTATAAGTGCATTGAAGGGGAACAGACTGCCACCCGATGACATCACGAGGTGGTGTTTTAGCGCGGAGTGGGAGGAAAAACGCAAAACTACCCAGACATCGAGTCAACTTTCTCCAGCTAAACTCTGACAAGACTGAAGTCATAGTGTTTGGTCCACGGAAACAAAGGGACAGTGTCAGCAGTCACCTCCAGTCTCTCTCTCTAAAACCTTCAAATCAGGCAAGAAATCTAGGGGTAATAATGGACTCAGACTTGAACTTTAACAGCCACATCAAATCAATAACATCTGCAGCCTTTTACCATCTAAAAAACAGAGCAAAAATCAAAGGTTTACTGTCTAAATCAGACTTGGAGAAACTTATCCATGCGTTTGTCTCCAGTAGGTTAGATACTGTAATGTTCTGCTCACTGGTCTCTCCAAACGAGCTGTGAGACGCTGCAGAACATCCAGAACATCCAGAACATCCAGAACATCCAGAACATCCAGAACATCCAGAACATCCAGAACGCTGCAGCTCGGGTCCTGACTCGAACTAGGAAGTACGAGCACATAAGTCCTGTGCTCAGGTCTCTGCTCTGGCTCCTGTGGCTCAGAGACTTTAAAGCAGCTCTGCTTGTACAAGTGTCTCCATGGCCGAGCACCAAAGTCCATCTGTGACATGTTAGTGTCATATGAACATCTCACACTCTGAGGAGCTCAGGGACCAACTCCTGCTGGTGCCCAGAGTCACGACTAAACAAGGGGAGTCAGAGTTTCAGGTTCATGCACCTAAAACCTGGAACAGTCTGAACATGTGAGACAGACTCTAAATCCAGACTCAAAACATTTCTGTTTAACTGTGCATATGACTGAAAGGTTTTCATTCCGCTCTCTTCTCTCCAATTTATGTCTCTCTTTTTTAATTTTAATCTTCATGATTATTTATGTTTTGATTTGTTTTTATTATGATTTTAATGTATTTCTTATTCTGTAAAGCACTTTGAATTACTTTGTGTACGAATTGTGCTGTACAAATAAACTTGCCTTGTTTGTGTCCTGACATGCCACAGAACTAGTCAGGCTTCAGCACTCAATTTCATTTCTCTCTAGCATCTAGGTCAGGAATCAAAATACACTAGATGGTTCACAAAACCCCTGGTGCAAGTTCGGGCACCAGCCAATCAGCGAAAAGCCGTATATTCTGTGTTGTCAACGATTCCCGAGATGGAGGATTTAAAGCCAGAATAAAGAGAATGTTTGGTGAATTTGATCAAGGGGAAAGACGTTATTGTCCTCCTTCCTACGGAGTTTTGGGAAACGCTTTAATCAACCAGTTAGCCCCGTTTGCAGCGCATTACATACATCAAAACCAAATAGCAGCGATTGGTTAAATGATAAAAAGTATCGCCAACCGTCGAGCGAACGAATCCTAACACTGCGAGAATCAGGCTACCACAGAACAAGCGTTATAGAACATTTTTGCAAACAGAAGTGTCAATTTTAAGATCCTTAAAGCTGCCATCTTCAATTAGACCTAATTATAACTTTTTGGCAAATAATAACACATCTGCATCTTGTAATTTGTAGATTTAAAAAAAATATATATTTATATGAAGTATTTATATGTATTTAATGTATTGTATTTAATTGTTCTATGAGGTATTTACATTTTGTCACATGACAGTCAATCAAACTTTATTTATAGAGAGCTTTCCATACAAAAAAAAAAAAAAAAAAAAAAAGCGATTTTTTTTTTTTATTTCACCCCCCTCCCTCCACACAGCTCAGCTAAACAGTTTGGTCTTGAGATTACGATCTGTGACATAACCATCTGGAATGTGACATAGCTTCTTACAACTCACTATCTGGAATCTGGAAACTTGTACTAACTGTCTGGAAACTGGGACGCTGACTAAGCTCGAGCTCTTAAAGACACAAAAAAATGATTTGTGTTAAAGTACGAAAAGCTGACAGAGAGCGCCGCGTTTTCACAGAGCAGTGGACGACCGATTATTTTTCTGTTCAGTGTAAGGACCGTCACTGTCAGGAGCGATAATGTGGCCCTGAGAGAAAAGAAGCTTGGTGATCCCTGATTTAGACAGACCCACTCCCGTTGTATTCTCACATAACACCACTAGAGGTCATCTACATTACTGTTGTTTGAGAAGGGGTGGGTACGATGGGCCAGTGGAGAAGGTTTCACATCTGCCGTATTTTTAGGTTTATTTAATAGTACACGTATTTTCATGAAGTCTTTGTGTAATACTTGACATAAGCACTTTGGTACACTTGCGATGTGTTTTTGATCGTGGTTAATCTTTCCTCACATGTGACACGTACAGATCATGTTGTATCTTGTTCCTCTCAGGTGTTTCCAGAGCGCACGTCCGACCTGGGCTTCCTCCAGATCGACTGCGCTCCCACAAACTCGGACTTCTTCCTGAACTGGGGCTACTCGTACCGCGGCGTTATCTTCCCCACGCTGCGCAACGCCTTCAAGTCCCGTGACCTGGAGCGCCTCTACCAGCGCTACTTCCTGGGCCAGCGGCGCAAGTCTGTGGTGGTCATGAACCTTCTGGACGTGGTCACCAAGCTCACGCTGCTGGTGCTCCATCTGACCCTGGCGTCCACGCGCATGGACCCGGTGAAGGGGGCGCTGCTGGGCTTCTTCACGGGCATCGAGGTGGTGGTGTGTGCCTTGGTGGTGGTGCGGAAGGACGCGGCGTCGCACAGTTACCTGCAGTACAGCGGCGTGGTGACCTGGGTTGTCATGACGACGCAGATCCTGTCGGCCGGGCTGGGGTACGGCCTGCTAGGCGACGGGGTTGGTTACGTGCTCTTCACGTTGTTTGCCACCTACAGCATGCTGCCCCTGCCCCTCACCTGGGCCATCGCCGCCGGGCTGTTCACCTCCACTCTGCACATCCTGGTCCAGATGTTTCTGTCACGCACAGCCACACTGTCCACCAACCAGGTAAGACACGCTCACTGGACCAGGGCTTTTGTCTGTAGATCGTTGGTCCTCCAGGGCTTTTGTCTGCACTGTGTGTGAATGTGGAGTTTGATGAAGGCATGAAGTTGGTTTGATGTGGAGAGTTGCTCTGTCTGAGTGAGGACCTGCTTGTCTGAAGTTTGTTTTATGCTGATTCTGTGCTTCTGTGTTCACTGCAGCTTTGGTCTGAAACACACACATTTTATTGCTCAGTTAATGGCCGTTCATAATAATAATAATAATGTGTTACACTTGTAATGCACTTTACAGGCCTGTCGAAGCCTCTCAAAGCTCTACACTGTCTTTATTCTTTCACTCCATACACAGCAGCAGCAGAACTTTTACTGTAGCCACAGCTGCCCTGGGGCAGACTGATGGACATGTTACGATATCCAAATCTCACAGTACCATATTATTGCGGTATGAGCCTCACGGTACAGTATTTATGTGCAATATTGTGGAAACACTTGCAGTGTTTTACAGAAGGACTCGCGAAGGACTCATGGTGTTATAGAAGGACTCACGGTGTTATAGAAGGACTCACGGTGTTATAGAAGGACTCACGGTGTTATAGAAGGACTCACGGTGTTATAGAAGGACTCACGGTGTTGTAGAAGGACTCACGGTGTTATAGAAGGACTCACGGTGTTATAGAAGGACTCACGGTGTTGTAGAAGGACTCACGGTGTTATAGAAGGACTCACGGTGTTATAGAAGGACTCACGGTGTTATAGAAGGACTCACGGTGTTATAGAAGGACTCACGGTGTTATAGAAGGACTCAGGTAGAAGGACTCATGTTGTTATAGAAAGACTCACGGTGTTATAGAAGGACTCACGGTGTTATAGAAGGACTCACGGTGTTTATAAGACTCACGGTGTTAGAAGGACTACGGTGTTATAAAAGGACTCAGGTGTTATAGAAGGACTCACGGTGTTATAGAAGGTCACGGTGTTATAGAAGGACTCACGGTGTTTATAGAAGGACTCACGGTGTTATAGAAGGACTCATGGTGTTATAGAAGGACTCACGTGTTATAGAAGGACTCACGGTGTTATAGAAGGACTCAGAAGATAGAAGGACTCACGGTGTTATATTTATGAAGGACTCACGGTATAAAAGGACTCAGGTGTGTTATAGAAGGATAGAAGGACTCGGTGTTATAGGTGTTAGAAGACTCACGGTGTTATAGAAGGACTCACGGTGTTGTAGAAGGACTCACGGTGTTATAGAAGGACTCATGGTGTTTTATAGAAGGACTCATAGTGTTATAGAAGGACTTATGTTGTTATAGAAAGACTCATGGTGTTATAGAAAGACTCATGGTGTTATAGAAGGACTCATGGTGTTATAGAAGGACTCATGTTGTTATAGAAGGACTCATGTTGTTATAGAAGGGCTCAATTTTTTTATAGAAGGGCTCACGGTGTTATAAAAGGACTACCCCTGTCTCCTTATCTTCTTCAGCGGTCATAGTCTTAGGCAAACTAAAATGCATCTCGGCTTAAAAGCAGCAGGGGCATCATGCGGGGCATCACGGGGGGCATCACAGGGGGGGCATCACGGGGGGTATCACGGGGGGGGGGGGGCATGCAGTGTGTCTGTTCTGCTTTCCTCTTTATCCATAGATTGCTGTTGTTAATGCAAGTGTGGAAAGCAAACTGTGAATCAGGTGATGTAGCGCAAAGGATCATGGTTTATGTAGTTGTATTTTAAATGTTAAAATCTCTAAATCAATCCCACCATAATGTCCATAAAAGCCCCTCACACCTGATCAAAGTCCTGTTGCCTCCCACTAACAGAGTAGAGCATTTTTTTTCAGGAGTGCAGTTGGGCAAAAGCTCCTTAACCCAGTTTTCCAATTTCCAATGTTTTAAAATGCACTTTTAGTCTGGGTCGCAGCCAGTAGTATGAAATATTTATGTTAATTATGGTTTATGAGCAACCAGAGAACTGAATCGCCCTTTGGGTTTAATAAAGTTTTTGATATGTTTTAGCTGATATCAGTTTCAGTCATGCAGTGTCATAAAATCCAACTTTTTCCAACTCAGTCTCCAAAGCAAGTCCACACACACGTCATATTATTTTTCTGCTGACACAAACGATTATTTAGCGCATAAATACATGCTGTTTAATACCAAAAAGAGACCACAGCAATACTGAGGCAAGTCTGCAGCATGAAATTGCGATAACACACACACAAAAAAAAGCAAGGCTGCCAATCGCACCATCAGCCCTTCTGACCCCTTTGAATACTCACACACACCACATTTATAGTAGGCAAAGTGTCTGGCTTAAGGACACAACAACAACTTTGACCACTTTGAGACACCAGCTCGTCCTAAGATCCACTTTCCTCCTGTTGGTCAGTCTTTGTCATCCTTAGTTGATTGACAGGCGAGTTTTCAGAATTGCCATCACAAACTATTATTTCTGTTATATTTTTGGTTTGTTTTTATGTTTATTACCATTTATAACAGGATATATCAGCTTGTTCTTTTTGTTTTGTTTATATTAACTTTAAATTTGGGGCCTTAGTGCGTGTTAAGTTTCGGGATAAACTCCTGTAGTGCCGTTTCAGCACCAGGAGCTGTCCACCTCCACTTCCCTCTATCTTTCTCTTTCTTTCTCTTTCTTTCCCCCTCTCCCTCCCTCACATATGTCCCATTCACCAGGCCTGCACTCTCAGCTCCTGCACTACCAACACTTGAGTGCTCATGTTTATTTGGCCCGTTCCTCAGTGACAAATATTCAGTGTGAGAGAGCCTGTCACAATAACACTACCGACATGGGCCAATATGCACGCCTTTTCATGGAACGGTGTAAAAAGAAGAAGAAGAAGAAAAAAAAAAAAGAAAACATTGCAGATTTTTTAGCTACAATATTTTTTTGTTGTGGTCCAGTCTGTGTCCGTGTGTCATCCCCAGTTTGTCATCCGCCGCATCTGTCGAGTTACGAGGGAAATAGAGAAGACGTGCTGCTTAAAGGTCCTACGTTATGCACAACTGACTCAAAAAAATAAAGAGAAAGAGTCGAGAATCCCAGATCTGAACTGTAACTTGGCCTGGTGGGATCGACTTGAAAGAGTCACGTGAGGTTCATCCTGTTTTCTGATTGGATAATCGACTTGAGAACTAAAATTTCTCATGTTTTTGTAATGAAATCAGTATCAGTAAAGGCTATATTTGATTTGAGCATGTTTACCTTTTACACAGGTTGGTTTTGTAAAGTTTTCAGGAAAGGCTGCCACAAACTACAGGAGAATTTGACCGATTTTAGCTGCGATTTGCCCCATTTCTCCCCAAATTTGAGGAGGCGTGACCCAACTTTGTGTCTTCGGTTATGTTTACACTGAAACGAATCATCATATCGGAAACTATTTGTGTCCAGACACGTTGTTTCTGTGTCCTCAAGCCTTCCCTATCCACACAGTTTTGCATGTATTTGTTTACGTTTGACAGAAATGAAACTTAAAACCACATGGCTAATTTGCATAAACTCAAAGCTCAAAAAACAGCTCTTTCCTTGTGCTCTGATGTGGTTCAGCTTCTGTCAGACTAAAGGACACGACTCAGTGGAATATGTTCTGCTAACCGTGTCTGAAGTTGCAGCAGCCGATTTCAAGCTGAGGAAGATGTTTCCCGTTTGTCTCTGGTTTGTTTAAGCTGTTTTCTGCAATAGTGTCACATGACCAATGTCACGAACCCAGCGAATCAGGAAGGTGCAAATCACAGTGGCCCAATAAGGACGAGACTGGAGCTTCTACATCAGCGTATCAGTGTTTTCAGGCGTCCACACAGTGCTGGATCAGATCTGTACTCAGATGAATTCGTGGGAGCTGTCGGCACCAGATCGTTCCGTCTCCGGAGCCGTTTTCGTTGCGGATGCAGTGTTCGTTCACAGTAATCCCATGGACTCGAATACGTACTAGTGTGGACGGGGCCTTCGTGTACGATTTTGAAGCTGCTGCGCTTCTCGTGTGTGTGTGTCTGACTCTGAGCTGCTCTGTCAGATCAAACCACCAAACATCAGCAACACTACAATAACAGTGAATAACGGGTCATAGCAAAAATAATGAGGCAAATTTATTCCTCATCTCTTGTAAAGTGGTCAATTTAAAGTCCAACATCTCATCCACATTATCCAAAGGAATTGTCCTCTGCAAATAATGACACTCAGTCCACAAAACAGTGCAGTTAATTCAGTTTGAAGTGTTATTTAAAAGTAAAAAGGTGAGAGTAGTTCCGCAGGTTTGTCTGTTTATATCCACACAGCTCACGGATCGAGGTGAAGCTGCAGATTTGGATAGTGACTCTTCTTTATCGCCAACCTTTTATCCTTTAAAAATCCTGTATCTGAAGTACTGCACCACATTTCACAAATAATAATAACACAGTTTTGACTTGTATCTAAACTAGAAGTGCAGAGCTCAGAACTTTTTGAACATTATGAGTCTCAAAGTGAGTGGTTTTACTGTAGACAGGAACACTTTTTTGCTTTTAAAATACCTTGACAAGATTTTGGTGTGAATTATTATGTCATAATCCCAAGAATTCAAGTAAAGAACATATAACTTCATGTTGTCTGTGCTGAAATGAATCATGGGATATGTAGTTCCCGATGTTTACGAGCTGTTGCTACTATAAAAAATGCATTTAAGCAAAGGAACGGTATTATTGTTAGACTTTTGATGATACGATACAACAATGTTTCGGTTATTGTTACATCTCTAGTCTGTGCTCTTTGTTGCACTTTTAAAAATCATTCAAGACCAAAAAAAATCCTGTAGTGTGCGCCGGGCTTTAGTTGAATAAAATTAAAATAAAAAATCGTACATACAGTTCCTTTAAAGTCAACAAAGGACATTATAGTTGTCAAAAGTTTGGAAAATCTTACTAAAACTACAAAACTAGACACTCATTGGAACAGTTGTGGTTAATTACTATGGCAACAGTCCTCATTTTAGATCATTCTCAAACCTT